CTCTATCCTGATCGTTTTCTCCTGACTCGCTAGTGGTTTGTTTTGATGAAACAAGATGTTTTTATACTGTCAAGGGCGTGGTAGCTCGTATCAAGGGCGTGGTGAGCTGGAAGCTGCCTATGTCACCATCAACCATATACGTCACGAACAACCGCAAACATCCAATAGGAAAATTCAACTGCAGTAGCCACCGTTCAACCTGAAGAGGGCAGCACTCAGACGTTTTTGGACCATATACTGTAGAATTAAAACACTTTTTACCCAAATGTCAAAAAAGATACTCGAATTAATGAACAGCACTAATAAAGCCCCATTCTTACAGATCATTAACTAAAATAAGTTGGTTTAGTTACCCTCTAAAATGCAGAAACTAAAGGATAGATTGACAAATGCATTATAGCTGCCTCCCTATGCCAAAGTGTAGTGTGAGATGGCCAAACATAAAGACATTGTCTAAATGGAGGTAATCCATTGGAGTCTCCATGGAAACAAAATCCACAGATCTCTTTTGATGAAGTGATTTAAAAGACTTGCAACATATTATTAGAACGAGAACTGACAGGACACCAATATTCACGGTGTGCTCATTATTACCACAACTGCAAGAAACGGTCAGAACTGTAAGGAGAAGGCAAAGCTGAAACAGCTTCAAATTAAACTTTGGCCCTGCGGACTTGGACTTTTTTTTTTTTTTACGTGCAATTGCGAGAAAAAAAGTCAGAATTGCGAGTTATGAAGTCAGAATTGCACAATATAAACGCACAATTGGAAGGAAAAAAGGCAGAATTGTGAAATGAAAAGTTGCAATTATCTTTTAATTATGTTTTTATTCTGTGGTGGAAACAAACTTACATATACAAAGGTTCAAGTGCTGCATTGCAAAATTCAGATCCAGATTTAAATCTATTAAAATCATCTGATAATAGATCTTTGTGAGCATTTAAATACACCTAAATGAATGTGAGCATCAGATTTTAACCAGGAAGTTCCTATTCTACTGGCTGTAATGAAGGGCTATAGAGCACATGCAGGTGAACATGGGTGCTTCTCATTTCTTATTTGTGCATCCTCGTTTCCTTTCCTCGCTTCCTTTCCTCGCGTCTCAGCTCCACCCCCTGTAGGACGCGAGGGAAGGCTGCAAGGAAAATAAATTAGGACGGAGGAATTGAATGAAAGCTTTTTTATACATTGGAATACTTGATCACTCGAGCGTCACTTCACTGCGTCATCAGCAGTGCTCAAAGGATCTGCCCTTATGTTGTTAAAGTTTGTTTATTTAAGAAATTCATAATAGATAATAATAAAGCAAGATACCTTGTTGAAATATGTGAGTTGTGTGGTTTATGTAAACTACAAAAGTAAAGTATAAATTAAAATGATTGTGACAGATGTGAAGGGGGAGGAGAATTGATACGTGCGTCATGTTTAGTCGATAAAACTCTTCCGCAAAGGGTACACCTGTGTATCCTCGCTCATAGCTCCTCTGGAAGCCTCCTCACTCCTCGATCCTCGACTCCTCGCGGTGCAATTAGAGAATTGAGATGTCCTTCAAGATGGCTGAGCTCGATTGGTTTCCGGGTCATAGGATGGAGGACGGAGGAGCGAGGAGACGAGGAGGGATATTGAGAAGCACCCCAAGATTTCACCAAGTGCAACATGTTCCTGGATTAACATCCTTGTTTATCTGGGAACACCATTCCAATCAACCAATCAGATCATTTGAGTCACAAGTTTACAAGTTTACAAGGGCTTACAACCAGGGTTAGGTGCTTCTACATCAGTGTTATTCACCTATCATTTTCCTCTGATTTTAGAGATAGGTTATGGGTAGGATTAGGTTTAAGGATAGGGATATGATTAGGACAACATTTTCAGACAGGAATGCAAGATAGCCTTATGTCATGCTGTACATTTTACTTGAAAAAAAAGAAAAAGAAAAAGAATGTGTCACTGCTCTGGTCGGCTGTAAAATATAATCTTTACTCATAGGAAAAAAATTATATTTGAAATGAAAAATGGTCAGTTGCTCCCACACTGCCACTATGTGCTCCTCAACAACACAATAAGTTACATCATATTAATGTATTTTATTTATGGCCTTCATTCAGCATATTGTACATCTTTCTTTCATGTCTGGTTGCATTAATAACAAGTTACATCCTTGCATTCTAGATTTCCCTTGAGAGATTTGACCATCTGTCTTAAATCTTTAATCTTTGCTGTATCAAAAATATCATGCAACATTGTGGTTAGAGCCAGAGGGAGCTCCCCTCCACAGACCCCTCACAGCAAAGAGCATCTTTCGCTCCTCTCATCCTCTGATCTACACATCACCTCTATCAGAGCAGTCACCACCAACATGCCAGCGACGTTGTAACCTACATTACTACAGGAAAGTTTAAAGGGTCAAATCATGACAGATCAAATAGTCCTTGACCTTTTGAGATAAAATAGTTTGTTGAATTATGAAAACTAAATGAGCTCCTACTTCAGAGTAGGGTCTAAACCAGTGCTATAGGAACTACCAGTGACGTTAGTGTACTAGGCTGACTAGCCGAATGCATGCAAAACACCAGCACCCGCCATTTTAAGAAAAAGCTGTGTACACACACAGATTATAGCCTATATATTTATTCCACAAACTAACTCTACAAACATGGAAACCAGTGATAAATAGACCTCTCAACCTTTAAGCTAAGGAGAACCTTTAATACAACGCGACTTTGGACCAAGCAAAGCATGATTATGTATTTCTGCTCAGCTAGCAACATTGGGCATCAACCACACGGCAAACGCTAATAATTTTTCATATACTGTCTACTTTCTCTGTATAACAGTTCTATCTAATAACATATTAGACAGGACTGTTAAACAAGTCGTATATTAATGAAGACAGAGAATGGGAGCGCTGTGTGTTCAGGCTCTGGCATTCTCAGCACCTTCAAAATAAATGTCGGCAAATAAAAGTTACAACAACAAGCACGGCTTACGTCACTTCAGAGTTCCTACCGGTGGTGCGAAGGCAACCAGGAAAACGTTCCTAGGGGAACTATTAGTTCTCTGGGAACCACCCTGGTGGCTAGTTCCTAGAACAAGCCAGTGCAAAAGCCACTACTAGAACCTATTGAAAGGATACTGACCCAGTGACAACTTTTGTACCTTTTCTTTTCTGAGAGTGTGTGAATTTTGAGTGAGTGTGTGAGTGTTCCCACACTAAGATTAAACCAATCTTGTACCCTCATTAAAATGACTGACCATCATTCCTGCCAAGTAAAACCCAATAGCATAAATACTATTATCCTAACAGCAGAACCATTTATTAATTCATTAAAAGCACAGCAGCAGCTACGAAATTAGTCATATAAACTGTTCTTTGGTTCCAAAAAATGTCAGAAATGGACCTTTGCAAAATATAAATATTTTTTAAATAATATACAACTCCTTTAAGACATATTGGATAACTGCATAAAACAGCAAAAGGTTTTATGAGACAAGACAAAGTTTTGTGATAAAGTAAATGGATGAACAACACTTAAAGTGGGATAGTGACAATTTTTCTTAGTTTTACGCCAAAATATTGCAGGACAGAAAGGCTCTTTTTTTGTGAAACAATAACCCTTCTCTGTCACAATGTTTCTGAGTATAGTTTAAAAATAAAGCAGATGGGGAGCAAGAGTTTTAAGAGTTCTAGCAGACGTGCAGTCTAACTGAGATGACCAAAGCTCGGGTTTATGTTCCCATGACACATAACAGCAGAAGCTACAATATACAGATGTTCATGCTGTGCTGTTTTCTGAGTAAATGTTGTTAGGTCAAGAGGTGAGGAAACTATAAATGCCTGATGAAGTAGTAGAAAACTACACCTGACAGTGAATGTGAAAGGTGTACACAGCAAGACATGGACTTATTCTTTGCTGCCTGTTGCTCCAAGAACGTCTACAAATGACCACCAGAAGGCAAATACAAGCCAATACACCAAGCAACCAATGAAAAGAAGTAGTATATGCAAATGAATCAATCTGGAAGTCTTCTATACTTTACTGATAATTAGTAGCTCGCCTCACTTTTATATTTTGGTTTTTGAACCTTTGGTTTTGTTTCTAAAGCGTCATCTATCTGCCATGAATGCACTGCAAATAAAAACAGGAGTCCATTTCTGCTAAAGGCAAACATAAATTAGATACACATTCTCTCTTCTTGCAGTGCATCAGTCCCAGTGTTATAGAAACATACGTTCATTTCCACAATGTAGTATGGTTGGATTCATATCAGCAGCAAACCGTACCAGACATCATATGAACCGTACACCAGACCACCTTTTTAAATCGGGGTACAGTTCGGAAAACAGCGTTCACATCAACCAAACAAACCCGGGTAAGCACCAAAAGTGCTAGTGTGAAAGCGTTCTAAATCAAAGAAAGATTATGGACCGGGCAATTTTTTGTCTTTTCTTACTGATTGGATTTTACGATGTGGCTGTTTAAATAAATAAAAAAATAATGCGAGCTTGCAGTTTATTATGGGTGGGTTTAAGCAGACTAAATGATTGGAGAAGTCCTTCATAAGTCAACAGAGAGAAGTCAGTCATTTTCACAAAACGATTGACCTTTTGATTAAACATTAATAAACATTTACAAAAAAAGAAACATAGTCCTGGACCAACTGTTCACAATATTATCTATAACATGCATTTACAAAATACCGTAGATAGGGCAAAAACAATTTCAAGCTGACTTAAATTTAGTCAATATTTCGTCATGTTATATGCATTAATTTTAGTAAAATTTTCTCTGAATTGACTACAATTATTTTTTGTCTTGTCTACGTTATTGTATCAACAGAAAATACCCTTTTAAGGGACATTTTTGTCAGTATTTTGTTGATGAGATGTTCCTGACCTTGGTTCCTGACCATAATCTGTCCTTTTTCCAAGTGTACACGTTACCAGAGCCACCTTAAAAAAGAGAGAACGAGGGAAATATAAATCTTGTCTCACTTACTTCAGGACGTGTGTAGAGCCGTTGATCTGCGTGGCCGTGCAGGTCGTTCCAGGGCCTAGAAGTGAAGGTCGGCGGTAGCGCTTGTGTCCGCAGCAGAGAATGATGAGGAAGGCACGACGGAAGGACTTGTTGAGGAAGGCGTAGAGGATGGGGTTGAGCATGGAGTTGATGTAGCCCAGCCAGAGGCAGGCCGCCCACAGCTGCTCAGGAACACTGTAATCTATGAAGGGGTCCACCACGTTCGTGATGAAGAAAGGGGCCCAGCACAGGCAGAAGCAGCCCATGATGATACACAGAGTCTTGGCCGCCTTGGTCTCGGTACGCATGCGGTGGTTGCGCTGGTGGTCTGCGCTGTTTGCGTTCGCTGCTCCTCCGGCCCGCTGCAGCATACTGATCTGTCGGGCATGTGCCCGCGCCGTGACGTAAATGCGTTGGTACGCCAGTACCATCAGGATGAGCGGTACGTAGAAGGCCACGACTGAGCAGGTCAGAGCGTATGGCTTGTTCACCATGAACACACACACAGTGGAGTTGCCGGAGAACTTCCGCTTCTCTATCTGTCAAGAAGATGTTAACATATTCAGCTTACGCAAACACAAAAGAATGTACACTAAAAATTACAGGTTCCAAAAGGGGGTTTTCACAGTGATGCCATAGAAGAACCATTTTTGGTTTTCTGAAGAACCTTTAAAAAAAAAAAAAAAACTTTTTCCACTATAAAGTAGAAACCTTCTGTGCAATGGAAAGTTAACATGGATGTTAAAGATTCTTCATGGAACTATAGATGCCAATGAAGAAGCTTTATTTTTAAAGGCTACTTGACACTGCACCGTCAGACAAGGATCAACATTGACAGTCACCAGATCACAGTGCATCATTTCTCAGACATTCCAAGACAAATTCCAATTTAATGTTAAATCAGCGAAAACAAGCATCCACCAATGCCAACAGATGCTGTCAGGGGTAACAGGCTGATTGACAAAACCTGACAAACGTGTCTGTTGGTGCAGTGTGATTGGCCTTAAGAGTTAAGGAAATTCTTTTACTAGGTTTCTAGCGCTCCCTCTGTGTCCGTTCATTATTTACCATTACCATTAGGTTGGGCCCTGCATGTCTTTGGCTTCAGGGAACAGTCATTTGAGGAGACCTTTATAGAGCAGAGGTGGCTACTTACAATACTTCTTCTGGTAAAACACAAGGACCTCTAGATGTGGAAGAGAACTTAGCTAGAGGGCATGAGTCTATAAATAGCTTGCTCCCCAAATACACTATTTAGAGACTCTCACCTCTTCATATTAATGAAACATGCTTGACATTCAAATACTATGATGTACAGCACTATATCAGGTATATTAAGTTTGTAACTGGTAAATTAATTACACTCCTCTAGAATTAATTTAAATTCACCCTCTGATGCATGATGTCCTTTGGAGTGGAAATATTTTTAAAAGTCATATTAACCTTTCAGGGTGTGATGATTTAAATCATGATTCAAAAAACATTCAAAACATCATGAGTGATGACTTTTGACCCTTAGCCATAATTATTTTTGAATTTCATCTTTATGGCCAAATATAAGTGAAAACCATGGCGATTTTTTAAATATTTTTTTAAAATAAATATTGGCATTAGCCGATAAGTTTTTCTGTTTGACCGATATGTAGGAGGAGTGACTTTTATTTTGTCACTGGGCATGCATGTTTGACAAACTTTAAATCCTTGATTTAACCAACCTATGCTGCGCTATATCCAGTGTGCCGCTATATCATATTCATATCATATTCACTGTGTACTGTATATAAAATTAGCACTACCTTGTCTTCATGTAAAAATATGATTCCCAGTGTGCACAGATTTACCAGATTACCGAGTGCACTGTGGTTACAGTGTTTAGTTCCTTATCTATCTCTAAATTAAATAGTGTGATACCATAGCTATCTGCATTATATCGGCCACCCTGCTCTCTAAGATATTGGTTGTAAAATAATGTATATTGTCAGACCATTACCTACACTGTAATGAATTGCTGTAAAAATTACAGCATTATTTTACAGCAGCTGGCTGTATTCTAATAATACAGCATATTGCTGTAAACTGCAATGCATTCTGGGGTCGCGCGGCGGTTTGATTCAAAATACAGAATATTGCTGTAAATTTCAAATCTTCGGAGGCATTGTGATCTTCAACGGTCGTGTCATCGGCGGCAAGAGGAGTGATTCTCAACTCTGTGGTAAGTGACTTATTATTTCAGTTTCTTATTTTTCATGTTGGGTTACTCGTAGACTATGAAGGTAACGTTATATTCGCGGTTCATATTGGTAACTTAACCCCGGATCACACATCCTCCGACCGCGGGGCGCGAGGGAGACTTGCGCAGGGCTTTAGCAGCGCGGACGCGGTAGTATTTCACACATTCCTCGGGATCTAACGTTACGGACTCCTATGTTAAGAATTACATGCTTTAATGACAACAGTCGGTATTCACACGAGCTTCGTGTTGATCAGCACACTTCGTCGTGATTATTTTATGGTGTAAATCAAATCAAAATCAAGTTATCTGTTAAAATGGGCGCCGAAATTAAAACGGCGTTGTTAAAACCTTGCGTCAGACTCACAGAGGATGTGTGTCATATAACGTTAGCCTACATTTTGAATGGTGCTGTGTAATACCAGTTTTGTCGCATGTTTAATATGCCGGTGTAAAAATCCCTTACATTTCAGTACATATATATATATTAGCTATAGCCTACTCTGTGTGTGTAATTAGCTTATTGTTTGTATAATGCCTTTGTTCATTTTATTTAAAAGAAAGAGTTCCTGCACTCTGAATACTAAAATATAGTTTAAATGTAAAAAGCTGAAAAATAAAAATGGTAGTAAAAAATAACTTTTGCCACATGTGCTATTGTTTTAGGAGACACTTTGACAAGTGGACACTGGAAGGCCAAGTTGTGTGTGAGGAGAGCATTCAGCCCAGCTTCCTGTCTGGCCTTGCCATACTGTTCACTGCATATTATATGCAATCAGGAGGAGGCACTTGGAGTTCATTTAAAGGTAATGATTGAATTCTTAACAACTTCAGTACCTGCATTTTACACATGTATCAGAACTTGCCTTTAGATATATTATCTGTTGAGTTAATGAGTATTAATTACATATTTTCTGTTTCCTGGCCTTTTAGGTGCTTTGTATGTATCAATCCGGAGAGAGGAACAAAGAAGTCCAGAGGAAAATTGCCATCTAAAACGACAGGGCAAATGGTACAGAAGAAACAGGTTGCAGTGAACCCACATGTTGCCACTCTTCCCAGCAAAGTGATGGGTTATCAGTGGAATTTCTGAAATGTAAGTAACACACACACACACACACACACACACACACAAAGATCTATTTTTTCTTTAATTGTAACCTTTTAATATTCTTTATCTGTCTCTAACTGTATCTGTCATCCCTCTATCTGTCTCTGACTATATCATTATGTTTTGTAATTTATCTAATATATTGTCCTTTTCAATATTTCTAGCCACTCTTTGCATCCTGTGATGGAACAGCATCTGGAGCTGAATTATTCTCCATTTTTGATCAGAAGTTTGTTGGACTCACTTGGGGCCTTGTTGTTTGGATATGTTTGTCTGGTAATGAAGTGGTGAAAATTCATCCGTGTCTGTGTTTTTCAGAACCATTTTATTATGATCATGTTGGTCAACTTGTTTTAAATGTATGTCGTTTGCGTATTTCTTCTTTGTGTGAAGGGCCATGACGGCTAATTTGTTTCAAGTAATTAAAAAATATTTAATTTCATGTCCATTTAAAAAAAAATACAAGTTTGTAAATAAAAATTAAATCAAAATATACAAAATACACTGTTTTATTACTTTTCTTCATGCATATTTTAAAGTTATAAATTAAACAAATGTTGACCTGTTTTTCAAGATTAGGATGTTGAATAATTTGTTTGTTTTAGGGGAATTAAGTTGTGCATTATACAACACTTAATGTATTTAAAAACAATTTGCATTTGATGAATAATTAACATTTCAAATTCAGCTGCCAGTCATTAATATTCAGCCATCAGGAAAATATATTGTATATACTGCATTTTACATATTTCCTCTAGATATAGCAAATACAGAGAATAATGTAACTTACTGTAAAAAATACAACAATTTAAAAAATACTGTAATCAGAGAATACAGTAAAATTCTGTAAATTAAATTACAGACGCTACTGTAAAAAATACAGTAACTGGCTGGCAACCCTGCTGCCAGTATTTTACTGTAAAATTTACAGGTAATTTTTAACAGTGTACATTGCAGCTACAGTTGTCAGCTACAGCAGCTCATAATATATGCCTAATCATGTTATTTGGTTATTTTTGGGAGTGACATTCACCTCATTAAATCCATTCAGGTTGTCACTGCAGTGACGTCACTCTCTATTGGACTTTGATAGCTCGTCTAAGGTGCTGCACATACAAATCAAAGAGGCAAGTGTCTCAAAGTCTGTCTCTCTCTTCTATATAGCTGCTCCTATCAGCTCTACTGTCTTGCAGTTATCCATACTGTACAGTGCGGATCATAAAGAGGACACTGCCACACCTGCAGCCCTCTCCACAAATTTTACTTTTTCACACACCCCTCGCCTGACTGGAAAATTTAATTCTTTACCATCTCTGTGTGACACTAGTTCATTTGAATCGCATGCAATCAGTATCACCATCCCTATTAAAATCCATTTTGTAGTTGTTTATTGCCTCTCAGGTCAGCAAGGAAATTTCTTGGAGGAGTTGGATGTGTTACTCTCATCCTTCCCTGAGGATGGTACTCCTCTGGTAGTTCTTGGAGACTTTAACATCCACCTAGAAAAACCTCAGGCTGTTGATTTCCACACTCTGCTTGCCTCGTTTTACCTCAAGCGAGTATCTACTGAGGCTACTCACAAATCAGGTAAACAATTGGACCTTATTTACATGCGCTACTGCTCCACTGACCATATAATGGTCACTCCACTGCACACTTCAGATTACTTCCTCCTCATTCTTAACCTCAACCTGGCTCAGAAACCCACACACACTCCTTCGCAGGTCACCTTTCGGCAAAACCTACGCTCACTCTCACCCTCCTGCCTATCCTCTTTGGTCTCATCCACACTTCCTCACCCTAATCAGCTCTCATCACTTGATACTAACAGTGCAACTGATACTCTTTTCTCCACTCTAACATCGTGCTTAGACAACTTCTGCCCCCTTTCCTCCAGGCCAGCCCACGCCAACCCCTCTGCCCCCTGGTTATCTGATGTTCTCCGCGAACATCGTTCTAAACTCAGGGCTGCAGAGAGGGAGTGGCGCAAATCAAAGATCCCGCTGACCCTCGTTTGTATCAATCCCTCCACTCTTCCTTATCTGCTAATGTCTCTACTTCTAAAATGACTTACTACCATGACAACATTAACAATTCTTCTGACTCTGACTTTTCAAAACCTTCTCCTCTCTTCTTAACCCTCCTCCTACCCCTCCTTCATCAACCCTAACAGCTGATGACTTCGCTCCATTCTTCAT